AGAGTAAAACAGGCTTCTTGAAACGTGAGCCACACTATGACCAAAGTGCCCAACATCCTAAGATCTAAACAGCCTTCTTCGGCCCTTCCCAGTTACCTGTAAATGCTGTCACCTAAACCATGTTCCCTTGTATTGTTCTCTTGGATTTACGGCTAGGAAAGAAACATGACCAGGAAAAAAAGCAAAACTAAGTAAAATATGGAAAGGTGATGATATTAGGCTATGTTATAAAGTCCACAGAGCATACTCAATTTCTACACATTCCTATACGCTAGTTTAGTTTTTCATACACTTTTAGCTAAGACTCCTGATACTGCAAATAGACCTCTCAAATCTCAAAATCTTTCACAGAGTGCAGAACAACATTTTGTGCTGGGTCAATTCATGTCTATGATGGCAAGATCACAGTCCTAGCTTGAAAGCAATGGCAAGCAGGGGGAACTGGGCTCTAGTCTAATCAGAACTACTCTGATAAAATCATAATTTGAGAAGCAAGGATTCACATGCCAGAGGGACCCGACATCTTATACCCCAACTAAGCATGATAGTAAATGTCTAGAAAAAGCGCTACCAAAAGTGATGATTCAAAACAATGTTTGGGAGACTGGTTTTTCTTCTTTTTGTTGCTTTTTTTTTTTCCAAAAAGAGAACAGATTAAGGCGGTGGTAACTTTGACAAAGCCACTGAAGGCTACTATTTAGCTAATGACTACAGAGAAAATTAAATGTACTTATATGTATTTTGCTAGCAATCGTCACAAGTCTGTTTTTTCATTCTATTTCTAATATATCCCTGATATATGACGTCAGGGACCTAAATTTCCATCAACTGGGATTACAAAAAGACTGTTAGAAACTGAGGTGGGGGAGGGACTGTTGTCTAATTATTCATCATTTTATAATCCCATTTCCTTCAGAAAGCTGCTCAACAAGCTCATCCCACACATTTACAAGACATTTTTACATGTTGCCCTTTCCAAATTGAAATCCATTTGAAAATTGGGTTAATTCTGTCTCATGCACATCTTATATCATTAATGAAATGTCATCCTTTGTGCAGAAATAGGTTGGTGATTTAATTAAACCGGATGATTTCAACACTAAAGAGAAGGGGAAAAAGTAGCAGAGTGAGGGGGAGAGATGTATTTTACTTCCTCCCACAATAATTATACACTGTTTTTTTAGAACAGCGGGCAAGTATAAAATTATATTTCTTTTTATCACCACAACTATTACTTCAGCTTTTACAAGTTCTAAATTTATCAATGGAAAAGATCAAGCCATAGTCGTATTCTTTTGTCCCATTATATTCTTCTTTTAATATAATCACCAGTTTGGGCTGTTGTACTGATGTCATGTTACCAGGAAGCTGGGGGCCTGGAAAATAGATTTTGAGCCTACTGAAAGTGGCTAAAAAAGTATTATTTTACATAAACATAGACAAGCTAGATTGCGTAAGAAGTTTTTTGTCAATTAACTACATACTCTATTGATGGAGGAATAAATTGTTCATTTTTCTTTGCTACAAATGCTTCCTTTTTCACTCCATTAGAACCTCATTATTCCTTCAATGTCCAAGTAGCTTTAATACTCACTGATTAAGAGCTGTATCTGTGAGAGAAAAGCAATAGCATAGATATGAAAGTAAGTGAACTAAGTAAGTGATAAGTCATATACTACTGCAGTTTCCAGTTCATTGCTGCACACATTCTCTTTTGTTTCCTCTGAAAAAGAGGAAAACAGTGCATCATTACATGCTTTAACTCATTAGCCAGTGCTAGACTGCACGGAACGACGGGCGAGACCAGCCCTTATGGTTTCACCTCTCCATGGTGAAGCAGCAAGGAAGAAGGCAGTAGCAACTGGAAAAAAACTTGAAGTACACTGTGCTGAAATCAAAACAAGCAAGTTAAAAAAAAAAAAAAGAAAAAAAGGTGTGAAAGACCTTGATAGCACCATATACCCCATGGAATACAAAGAAGTGAGGACCTTGGAAGACAGTTCCACTCTCCCAAAAATATTCTACATCAGGCATACTTAGAGCTCATTTAGTAGAAAATACCATGCTCTGACTTTTTTAAGAGATTCATGGCTCAGAGGGATCTTATTGGTGTGTATAAATTCTGGCACTAACTGAAATACAGAATATTCTGATTAAAGAAAAGGAAACTCTTTTACTGTAAGGTTGGCTGAACACTGGAATAAGCTGCTCAGATAGTTTGTTGAATCTCTGTCCCTGGAGACGTCCAAAACTTGTCTGAACGTCGCCCTGAGCAAGCTGCTTTGAGCAGAGGTTTAGAATAGATGATCTGCAGAGGTCCTTTCCAACCACTACTACCTTGTGAGCAAGTAGGACACAATCAGATTGTAAACCTTTTAGGGTACAGATTCCCTCTGAGACCTGTTGTTTTTCCTGTGCTTAGCACAGGTGGGTACTGATCTATGATTTGGGCCCCTTAGCTCCAAAACCATACGGAAAATCAAGGGCAGAACATGAGCCCAGCATTTCTGGTAACTAGTGCTATTAATACTCCTATACATAGATATTCATTAAAAGCAGGAGCACACGAGTCCAGAAGTTTGTGCCTGGCTAGATAACTGGATTACACTGAAAACCCATATTACATGTTTGCCAACTATGTCTTTTTCCTCTCAGAGGGAATGAATGGCTTAAAAACGTTAAGTCATCTAGTGCCTACTAAAGAAAGGATCTCTGTGATGTGAAATACAAACAGTGCAAGCTTCTCGGAGATCTAAAAGCCTTGATTTCAGCTCACACAAACAATCAGATCCACCTTGTTACAAAATGGTGATCCACACAGGGCTTGAGAGAACCTCACCACAGAATAAAACCAGGCTTCTTAGATTCATCATGAAATAAATCTAAGATGTCATCTGAATTCAGGTTTCAATTTTTCTCCTCCGCCCACTCTATCATTTTGCTCTCCTACACACACACACACACAAAATCTCCAAAAGTTTTTCTGCAAGTTGTCTGGGTGAAGTACAAAGAGATTTCTTCTCTACAGCACCTTGCAAAGAATCAGGGAAACACACATACTCAGCCTCCCCTTTGGTTCAGGTAATAAATGAGTAGGGAATGAGAAAGATGCTGAAATGAAAAGCAGTAACCAGTGTGCTCTGCATTTGAAAACAGGGCTTGTTATTTAGAAACCTGTACTCCAGACCGAAGTGCACGCAAATGGATTTGGGGGTTGCAGGTTTCCTGTCACCATATGTTGAGGGCTGTGTCTGAATCATTTGTTTTACTGGCACCCTGGTCATGAAATGAAAATGAGCCAATAGCATCTGTCTGCTTCTGCAAACGTAAACAGCAAGATGCTGCTCCTGGGAAGGTAAATTATGTCTACAGTATATCCATGTGGTGGGAAATACTAATGGTAGAGTTATACGAAATAAGAGCTGTGAGTAAGTGCCTCCAAAAGAGGGCAAGCACAGGATGTTGTAGCACTAGCTGCTCCCTATTTATTTATACTTATGAATTATAT